CCCCGGCAGCCCCCCCGCGCCCCGCCGCCGGCCCGCCGCCACCTGCTAGCCCATGCTCCTGGGACCCCCGAGTAGCGTCGTCAAGCCTCCGAGCCTCCTCGGCCTCCGCTCGCTCTTCCTCCTCGCTTCCTCCAGCTCCTCCTCGTCCCCGTCCTCGCCGCCCAAGCCTCTTCGGCGCGCGCCCCGCGCTCCCCGCAGCCGCCAGCAGCCGCAGCAGCAGGGAATCTGGCCTTGGCTCGGGGCTGGACAGGGGCAGGCAGGCCCCTCGGTGGTGGCCCGGGGGGCGCCCCTGACCCCACAGCACGCAAGGTGGAGCTACCCCAGCCCAGCCTCGAGACCCTGGCGCCTTTCTCCAAGGTGTTGCGCCCCCAGCCGAGCGCTGCTGGGAACCTGGGAAGCCCCCAGTGGGGAGGAGAGGAGTGGCCAGCTGTCAACTCCACAGGCTGAGCGCCCTAAGGTCCTCGAGCTTCCGGAGTGAGAAGGACCGTACTTCAGAATACACACACCTCCCAACACTAGTTCGCTCTTCTCCCACCCTCCTAGGGCCCCAGTGTCCCGCGTGTGGCTGGAAGGCAGGGCTATGGGGATGGGGGCTGTGACTGACGGGTGGTCTGTGGCCTCTGACAGTCACAGGTGGTTTGCTTTATTGAAAGCCAGGCAGAGTGACAGGAGACCTGACCTCTGGGCTGGTGTAGGCCCCAAAGGGCATTAAAGCTCCCTGAAGGGTGGCTCCCGCCTTATGCAGCCGCAGATTGCATTCATCCTGTGAGGAGAGCTGCTGGGGAGGAAGTGCGCCAGGCTGCACAAGGGCTCCCCCTTCTCCTTCTCCGGTGGGTCTTCCCTCCTGCTCTCCTGACGATGGAGTCTGGTTTGTTCAGCAGCCTCTACCTACCCCACTAGGACACCTCCTTCTGATATTCTCAGAAACTTTACTCCCTTGGGTCACTGTCCTTCCTTGTGCCACCTACTGGGCCACAAGTTCTTCTGGTGATAATTAAAATGAAGATGATCACACTCTCCCCTCATTGCCCACAGTGGTTTCCCCAAAGTTTCCAGCTCATTAGTTAAAGCCTAATTGGAATTCTCAGGTTCCTTTCAATAATTCCTGTGGAAAAGGTCCAAGGTAGCATTCTGAACTGTATAGGCTTGTGTGGTCTCTGCCTGCCTTAGAGGCCTTGGGACACAGGGGAGGAGAAGGCCGAGGGAGGTGAGGCTGGGCAGAGTCTAAAGGGCACGTTGAAGCTTCTATGGCTTGATTCAAAATACATTCATTGGGCTCAGACACACATCCACTGGGAAGGTGGCAAGACCAAAGTCAAAGGGGAAAATGAAGTGAGGGAAGAGTCCCTTACTGTTTGAGGCTTGAAAAGCAGTATGTGTGGGGGGGGGAAGTGGGCTGGGGGGGGCAGCAGTTAGCATAATGGCTATGTCGCTGGACTCCCATGTAGTCCACTGCAGTTCGAGTCCTGGACCCAGTGGCTTAAACTCACGCTGGGCACATCTGCGTACATGCTCAAGATCCCGAGAGGAGAATGGAGGAGAAGGGATTACAGCATGGCCACCCCCCAGTGGGTGGGGGGGTGTCATTTCTCACTTTCTGTCTCTCTGTCTTTCTGGTGAGCGCACGCGCCCTATAGCAAAAACCTCTCAAAAAAAAAAAAAAAGCAGTATGTGAGTCCAACTGTGGTGGCACATAGATGTTGCCACCACTTGGGAGTCTAGAAGCCATGTGGGAGGCCTGAGTTCTAGGCTAACCCAAACAGATTAGTAGTAATACCCTGCACTCCAGTCATCCTAGCAGATGGAGAGGATGGGGCGGGGGGAGCACAACACAGTGAAGCTCCCGCAGAACTACCTATCTTGGGGACAGTAGATGCCATAGCGGTTACCTGGCTAGATTCCCACATGGCTGAACATGATTTGAGTCCCCCAATGGCCTAAAAATCATGCCGGGTGCGTGTGCATGCCCAAGACCCCAAAAGAAGAGAGAATGCAGTGTGGCCATCCCCCAGAAGGGGTGATTTCTCACTTTCCCTCTCACTGTCTCTGTCTCTCTCCTCAGTAAGCGCACACTCTCTAAGGCAAAAACGTTAAAACAAACAAACAAAAAATATCTTTTTCTCTCTTCATTTCCCTCTTCCCTCTCTCTCTCCCTCTCATAAAGGGAGAGAGGACCAGCATATAAAAGGAAGCTGCAGACAGTATTTTCCGGAAAGTGAAACTGTCCGAGTCCCCCTCTTTGTCATCTGATGGCACCTCCAGCCTTGGCCTCCTTCAGCAACCACCCTGGATGCATCCCTGCCTCTTCAGTCCTGGTGCACAAAGGTCCTGGGTCTTTTCCAGCACTGGGATGGGGGAGTTGGCTCCAGAAGTGTCATGGGGATGTGCAAGGTGACTGCAGTGTCAAGGCTGCTTTATTTATTAGCTTTCTAAACGGCTGTACTTTGCTTCCTTTGTGCCTCAGCATATGCCAAGAAAGTTAAGGACTTCCATTAAATCAAGTCCAAGATTTGAAGTTTTTAAATAAAACATCGATGCAGTAAAACAAAAACAAACAAACAAAAACACAACAAAACACAACAATAAACAAAAGATCAGACTGTCTCCCACGTAAGAGATGAAGCCTCGAGAACACACTCCTTCATCCACAAAACTGAACTGCAAACCAACTGGCCTTCCTAAGAAACCACTAGAGCCTGGAGTCCCCTGAAAAGCCAGTTGGGGGACGAAGCTACTAACAAGAGCCTTCTGGTTGCTGCTACTTCTGTCTCCGTAACTCCAGAACCCCCAGCTGGGATTCTCCTCCATCATCACCTTCACTATCTCAGCATCCTTAGAGAAGGTGCTGGAAGGCCCCTTAGCCACCATTTCTTTCTGCTCCTGTCATCACCCCTCCCTTTGCTGATTGAAGCTTTTAGCAACTTCTGTGTCATCTGAAACCTTGGCTTAGTTGGGATTCACCAGAGACCCCACTGTTGAAGTCAATATCCTTCTGTTCCTATAATCTGACCGCCTCCCAGAATGGCCTGATAGGTTAGCACTGAATGAGGGAGTGCCACCCTCCACCAGCTCTCTGCCACTTCCACCTCACCTACAAACTCCTGTACCACATTCAGAGAGCCATGCACCTCGCCTTTCCAGTGCAGGAACGGGTTCTGCACAGATGCCCTGGAATCTCAGACTTAAAAGGGGGATTGGGTATCTTTCATTTGTCATATTTCTTCATCTGTTTAAAAAAAAAAGGAATAAAAATGGAAACTGCCCAGCCTACCTCAAAGAGATATGTGTGAAGATGAAAGAGAAACATTATACAAATTTTAACTATCATTACCACAACTACCCAAAATGGACCAAGTGGGTTCAGATCTTCTGACCTCCTAGCCAGTATTCACGTGTGCACTTGCACATGACGTGTGAGATGGATAGAGGCAGGATAACTGCTCCCTGACCTCATTTTGTTGTTTCATACCTCGTAAGACTCCATAGTTGCGATGAGAATGGATTTGAGTTACTCCACTTATCTCTGCTCTCTGCTACAGACAGCGAGGCTGTGGACCGAACCCAGGGCACCCACGGCAGAGCCCCCCTGAATGGGCTTGGCGAATCCTTGTCACATACACCCACTTGCCATTGCCTGGACAGCCTCAGAAGTGGGAAGAACATAAAGAAGCACCCAGTGCAGCTTCACCTAATGTAGGTGTGTCTGCAGGCTGGGAATTGAGCACCATTACACGAGAACTGAAAGACTAAGCAAAAGTAGAAACTTCGCCTTCTGTTCTGAAAA